CAGTGAGGGATGACCACCATGTATTCGTCATATCCCGGAGTTTGCGCTGAAGGATGCTGCATGCCAGACGGAAGGCAGCTTTTTCCGCTGACAAGTTGTAGGATGCAGCTGGCAGAGAACAAGGGTACTACCTCTACCCAGACCCCCCTACCTCTACCCAGAGCCCCCTACACCCCAGGTGTCAAGGAGTACGGTACGCACATTATGTACGTACATTATGTACGTGTGGGGGTTGGATTGTAATGCAGTATATTTCGAATCTCTATCGCAGTGTCATAAATGCGCGTGCAATTTTCACAGTTTCCGCGGAAATTTTAAGCATATCAATAGCATATCGGCTAAGGCCGCATCTTGAAATTGAATGGGCGTTGGCACCCTGTTCTTTCTGAAGGATCCTGCAGACTTTTTTTAACAAAAGAGCCCTTGACAGCCCGTCCCAGCACGGGCCAGAACACTTCATTGAAATAACAAAAGGTATGAACATGACCTGCCAGGCCAGGCTGAGTGACAGAGAGACTCATTTAAATGTAAATGGCGGGTCAGTCTGCAGAATACCCTTTTTTTTTAAGCTATAAAATGCGCCCTCACAAAATTTTATTGGTTAGGATGGAAACAAATATTACGATACAGACTTCTAAACAAAATTGGTCAAATGCAAAATCGCTGTTCGCCCAAAAATTTATAAGCCTTTTCATTTTCAGCAAGAGATTTTTTTTTTTTTTTTTTTCCCTTGGCCATTGCCAGACTGGTTTGACACATGGTTATGTGCATGCATTATCCGTGTTGACGTTGCTGCGTGTTGTGTGGAGCGGGATCGGAACTATACTTTGCCCGTGCCCGATGCGAAACAAACTGTTGGCCGTGTGGCATTGTCTGGCCGTATCGCGGTGTTTTCTCCGCGCGTCTGGACAGAATGAAGGTCCAGGGGGAAAAAATCGTAACTTTTTTGTTATGAGTGGTAAAAGCCTGACTCAAAAATCAACTTATTGATTATTTAATGGGGATTCCTTTGATATCAAACTTTCTTTTAGGTATTGGAAATATAGATTTATAAAACATGTGAAAATTGTAATGTCAATCTTACAGAATTGAAACTCCTAAGTTGGCCATTTCAACTTGAAATGCAACACATATGAAGCTGACTTGAATGCCATTGATTTTGTTGTGTAATCCTCTATACAATGACGCAATAATTGAATAAGATTTCATAAAAAAAAAATGAAATTTACTGTCATGTATCTTGCTTCACATGTACTGGCTCCAGAAAAAGAGAAAAAAATGTCGTGCCGACCTATCGACCCAATTCTTTTTCGAACTGTGTTACCCGGACCAAAAGTGTTTTTTGTTTGGCCTAATATATAGAAGACGTTTTGTTGATTAACATTTTCATTTCCCACGCTCTGTTTGGCGATGAGCCAAACCTTTCCTGCAAAAGCCAGGATCGTTTGGAGTTGTCAACGGCTGTTTACTGTGCAGACTTATGAGTGGGGCTGGGGAGTTTATGATGGCAGGCAGCCGTGCCTACCATACATGTACGTACATTTTGCCAGGAGGTACATGTAGATCGTAGTGCAGGTGTCATATGAAAATCCGACTCCTATGAAAATCGGAACCCTTTTTCCCTTTTATTGGTTAATCCCTCGCACGTGACAGGTCACTCTCCCATTATGATCCCAAAAATAGCATAGTATCGTACTCTCGCAAGCCCAATATTACCAATGAGTCCACATTTCATGGAGTCGGATATTCAAGCTATACCGGCATGGCCCGGCCGCGCCGGCAAATAAAATGTGTAACCTGTGCGATATTCATTTCTCCAACATATTAACCCCGAACTTCAACATACTTTGTTCATTACAGAAGTAGTTGTTTATATGCCTCATTTTTGAAATCGTTTTATTGTTATACTATATCATAAATCATGTTGATATTATTTAATAAAAAAACAAACTATGCGATTTTATATAAATTAGTCAGGATGACCATGGTGACGTGACTAGTAATATTATTAATGTTATGCCCCATTATTTTATCATTCTAGCTAACACTCTTCTACTCGAAATCTGTCCATATTTAATCCAAAAAGTTTAAGCCAGTTCAACACTTAAAGTTATGATTTCCTACGATTCTGTTGAATATTATTACTGTCCCAATGAAACCACCGTCAAATCTGCTACAGCCAACAGCTTGTTGAATTGAACGCGTCTTGCAATGCGATGGAGCATGTGGTCAACATTGATCCTCACCGTTGATCCTCAATTCGCCGAAAACCAACTGTAAACTTGGAGAAGGAAATTCCATTTGTCCAAGTTGTTGAAGCTGCACCACTAGTAGTACTAGTACTTTTAGTAGCAGGACGCAGCAAAATGTCCCCTTTTTGTAACTAATTTGGTGAAATGTGCACAAAATCTAGTGCGTCAGGTCCTTCTGCTTTTTGCATGCGCAGTCCGCAGACTATATGTTTTTGATGTGTCGTCGACGCGTCCTGTTACCCCTATGTCAGCCACTTGAATTAGTACGCAATTGTAACATGGGAGCTGACTATTTGCGTTGCGTGCTTCGGGGAAATCCCCGACAGCAAAACAGCTGTTTCATGTATTCTTTTCTTAAAACATTTTAGTACTTGGCCTTTTTATAATTATGTACGTCAAATAAATAAGACTTAAATCGAATACTTAGACCCTCACAATTCTTTCCAAGCTTCCAAACGTTAAGCAGTGAATAACCCAAAATGTTGCCCATCTCAATTTTGTTGTTCATTCAAATTTCCAAATGGCGCTACTTATAGAAAAATAAAACTTCTCAAATCTTCAAAATTTGGTGGCAAACTTATGTAACACATCGTTTTTACTTCATTCCGATGAAGTGGTGAACTTCCAAAACATTATTTTGCATTGAAAAAAGGCAATCGGGGAGCAAAATCAGTGAAATATTTTGTTAGAACATGTAGAGTGACATAAAAAAACGCTGATATCCCGGCAGTTATCTTACGCAGTGATATCCTCCATTTACCATCGGCTTTTGTTACAATCTTTGTAAACCTTTTTTGGAAATCTTTTTGGAAATGTTTGCAGATGACGAATTCGCTTCGCTCTTTACTTAGCTATTATATTCCCTGGTATACAAACAGGCCAGTTCCTGCTCACACATAATGTACACGCATCTTTGTAAACATACAATCGTGGACCCCCTATTGTCCCTAATCCTCATTCCTTTGTTTGTACTTTAACTGTTTAGCAACAGCTCTCATTGGTTTTGTGCACGAATTTCAATCGTTGACTATTGGTCAATCGTGGACATATTGTTTGTGCCCTAACCCTTTTGTCCTAGGTCCACGATTGCCGGTGTTTACATACTCAGGATTGTATTCGCTGCCTACACACATTACGTACTTGGAAACGTTGCTGCATGATGTACATGTATTAACTGGACAGTACGTACAGATTAAGATTGACCACTGATTCGTTTTGGCTGGTACCTTTTATTGTTTTATGCATAGATTACCAACATGACACTTGTGGTTTATATATAACGGCGCTACGTTGTGCTTTTGAACTGTGCTGGACTTCCCATTTTCTTTCTTTTTTTTAAAGTTTTTTCTTTTGTTTTTTAATATCCAATGGTTACACTTACCAACAAAAATAAAAGATTAAAACCAAAAAATAAAATGGTGTCCATGACGCAGTCGCACATTGTTTGATTCACTGATAACCCAACCTCGTCCCCAGTGCTTACTTTATTTCCAACACGGTTTCCAATAGTAAAGCCTGGATAGGAAACTTTCTTCCTGTATCCTGATTCGATACCACAATTGGCTAGTAATGGATTTTTATCGTGTACTTGGTGTTGTTATTCACAACGTGCAGTACGTGTTTTTGCGATCATTCGTCCACGCCTTCTCGAAAATATTAATTTCCTTTCCAGTTTGTTAATATTAATATGAAATGTGATACTGCATATTGCTTCGTTAAGATCGTAACAGTTTAATTGAATAAAAATTGTGTTTTCGTAACTCACGCCATGCTCGCGCTGCTACGAATTGACTCTGTTTTTACCCCAGACACCATATATACAAAAACAAACGCTAATGTAATGCACATGCAGGCACCAGACTATTCCTCATTTGCATACATGTTCAAAAATCTTGCACATGCAAATGATCCAATACCAGGGTGAGAGAGCAGGTAGTGATGGGCGCGTACTGCTCGACACCCTGGGTACGAGGTTGCTGATAACCCAACTCTGTAAGTACAGAGTTGGGTTATCAGTGAATCTAACAATGTGCGACTGCGTCGTGGACACCATTTTATTTTTTGTTTTTAATCTTTTCACTTCTATGGGAGTTAAGGGGCAGGGTACCAGCTACAAATCTTGTCATTCTAGTTTGCCGCGGGCGATGATAAATCGTGAAAGTTCTTTATTGGGCAACTGAAAATGAAATTCGGGCAACCAGATTTCAAAGGCCTGTGTATAGCGCAAAACCAGTGCAGGACTATACTGCATGCAACATATTGTTTCACCATGTGGCACGATGCATGTAATGTATGCAAAGAACGGGCGTGGAGTCAGTCTACTGAATTCAAAGTAGGTTCTCACTTTTTATCGACAACATGGAAAACAGTAAATTTAAACTATTTCTGATGTTGTTAAGAAACATGTTGTGATGGACAGAATTGACCGTTTAAATATGTTTTGCACATCCTTTTTCATTGTAACCATGTTTTTGGCAACTTAATAATTTAAATGACAAATTTGACATGGTTGGACTATGAAAACAAATTGCTCACCAGGCTGATAAAAATTGGTTTATTGGTACATACAATGGTTTCAGCAAGTTTTTTTTTCCTCGGCTTAGTCAAACTTTTATTCCTGAAATTCCTGTGGGCCCGTCAAAATATGTCAATAAGTATCAATAAGTTTCAAAGTACTTTCTTTCAGAATGCAAGTTTAGCGTTTGACTTTGTTTCAAGATAATTTGTATAATTTGTCTTTTACAATAGACATGTGAGTATCATGCCAACAACAGTAAGTTTAAACTGCGAGATCTCCTCAGTGTTCCAATGCAGAGATGTATGAAGTACCATCTACTGCTTAGGGTAAGTCCATTTTTCTAGGTTTAATATTTTACTTTTGGGACTAAACTATATTAATTACATCAGAGCCACCTTACCTAGGCAGATTTTGTTGTTTAGCGAGTAAGATATCTGCACTAGTAAGCAGAAGGTTCAAGATTCAAGTCCCACCTATGTAAGTGTAACTTTCTTCTCACAAGCTCTCAGACAGCACTGAGTATTAATTGGCATTTAATCACTTTGCAAAAACATACTAACTAAGATTGAACCACTTGATCTTCAAACTTTTATACTGGTTATCTTGATCTTTGGAGATTCTGCGGAGAACCTGTCTGATCAATGAAAATCGGAAATTTCCAAAGTTTAAAAGTTTAAAATTAGTGCAGGAGAAGCCTACCAGATAAGATTGGAACTGACACAAGCATCTCAATATGGTGCTTTGGTGGGATTTGAAGCGGTGCTTTGGTGGAACTTGAGCCGGTGATTTGGTGGGATTTGAACCGGTGCTTTGGTGGGATTTGAACCGGTGCTTTGGTGGGATTTGAACCGGTGCTTTGGTGGGAACTGAACCGGTGCTTTGGTGGGATTTGAACCGGTGCTTTGGTGGGATTTGAACCGGTGCTTTGGTGGGATTTGAACCGGTGCTTTGGTGGGATTTGAACCAGTGCTTTGGTGGGATTTGAACCGGTGCTTTGGTGGGATTTGAACCGGTGCTTTGGTGGGATTTGAACCGGTGCTTTGGTGGGATTTGAACCGAAACTTTGGTAAGATTTGAACCGGAGCTTTGGTGGGATTTGAACCGGTGCTTTGGTGGTTTTTGAACCGGAGCTTTGGTGGGATTTGAACCGGAGCTTTGGTGGGATTTGAACCGGAGCTTTGGTGGGATTTGAACCGGTGCTTTGGTGGGATTTGAACCGGTGCTTTGGTGGGATTTGAACCGGAGCTTTGGTGGAATTTGAACCAGAGCTTTGGTGGGATTTGAACCGGTGCTTTGGTGGGATTTGAACCGGAGCTTTGGTGGGATTTGAACCAGAGATTTGGTGGGATTTGAACCGGTGCTTTGGTGGGATTTGAACCGGAGCTTTGGTGGGATTTGAACCGGTGCTTTAGTGGGATTTGAACCGGTGCTTTGGTGGGATTTGAACCGGTGCTTTGGTGGGATTTGAAGCGGTGCTTTGGTGGGATTTGAACCGGTGCTTTGGTGGGATTTGAACCGGAGCTTTGGTGGGATTTGAACCGGTGCTTTGGTGGGATTTGGACCGGTGCTTTGGTGGGATTTGAACCGGAGCTTTGGTGGGATTTGAACAAGAGCTTCATGTAAAGAAACGCACTTAAGGTGAAGTAAATATATTTTAGAGTAGGTGAGATCTAAACCAGGGCCAAGGTGGTGAAAGAAGTGGCTCATACCACTGTTCCAATCTGACCATCCTCCGTCCTCCATTCCCATTGATACTAGCGTTGAGTGATCCAACCAACTTGAATGATCTAAGGTCCATAGGAGGTTTAAATATTCAGATCTTTTGTCTTCATCTGTTTTTTTTTTCTAGGAACTCATCAAATACACAGACAAGACACATGCAGAGAAAAAGGAGCTGGAAAAAGCCCTGGAAATCATGCAGGTCAGACTCTGCATTCTGATACAAAAGCCAGTATCACAATACTTGTGTTTGAAGTGAGCGGGACTAGGGCTGCTCACATGCCATGCACATGCATTGGGTTTTGTTTTTCTGATGTTTATAACTCTGTGAAACTGCCACAGCTGCTTATGTGTTCTCAGCTTTCATTTTGGAGGTACATTGTTGAAATGGTTAGTGTATTGTCGGCAATCAGAAAATATGTTGTCTACAAAGTTGAATGTCCAGTACCTTGAAAAAGGGTTATAAGTCTTTTGTACAACATTTTTTTTCACATATTAAATTTATTCACAAACAAGTATCGAGAAACAGATTTTTGTATTGTGAATGCAGTATTGTGACACCATCAAGTAAATGTCACACCCCTAATTGTTGCTTGAAATCGTATTGGTCCATAATGAAGGATCTTTATAAACAATCCAAAATTAAAGGAATGTTACAGGAAATTACGGAAAGATTCTTTGGATGATTATAAACATCTGACCTCTTGAATGGAATTTTCACCCATGAAACATTTTCTTCTCAGGTTCTCAAGTGTGATTTCACCTCAGTTTTCTCTCTATTTTCCCTCAGGATATATGTCTGTATGTGAATGAAGTCAAGAGGGATAATGAAATCATGCAAACCATTAGAGACATCAGGAAAAGGTGAACCAACCGGTTCTTTTCAGAACCACACATCTCCCCAAAAGAGATTTCTACATGGTGTTACCGCAAACCTTCACTAGTTCATGCCACCACCATGCAAAGTTTCCAACCTTACTGATACGCAGTATGCAAACCATCAAACAGAGTGCTGGTGATCTTTTGGGGTTGTGCATTACAGGCCATTCAACTTTGGACCTTACACCTTTTGTTGTACACTAAATACTTCTGACTTCACACCGTACACTAAACTGTGAATGTTCATTTAGGAATGTCAGACAAAGATAGCTTTTTACCTTGATTAAGCTCTTGACATGAGAAAATATCAAGTTTGCAAATGAAAAGCTTGTTTTCAACATGAAGTCAAGCAAAATAAACTTTGACAATTGCCTCCTTTGCATACCGATATTTAAATGCTTTTGATCATTGTGTGCTTTCACCACCGCAAAGGAAAACTTCCTGATCATGATGGGAAAAACACTAGAGGCTTCCAACAAGTACAATGTACATTGTTTTTATTAAGCCATCATATTAATGTGGGCATTAGAAATGGTAGGTAAGACGGAATGGACAATGTGAATACGTTTTTCCCCCTACTGTTTGCAAATTGCTGGAAACTGTTCAGGGTCAGATCGTGAATCCGTTGGGTAAGCGGTTAGTTTATTATTTCTTTTTAGGTCATAAAAGTAGCATTTCTCAACAATTGCACCTATTGTCCATTTGTAAGAAACCCCCTCTGGTAGAACAAGAAGCGCAAGCACCCATTGTTCATGTATCAGAAGGGCGGATCCAGAAACCAATTTTTTTTGGGGGGGGGGTGTGGGCAAATGTTTTTTTTCCAAAAAGGGTAAGGACATTAAGTATATAGTATCGTGCGCTATTTCCACGTAATATTAAAAGTAAACACTATGTGTAGGGAGATACGCAACGTTTTAATTTTTTCTTGAAAATTGAAGACAAAAAGGTGTCTACTAATCCGATAAAAGTAAGACTAAAAAATTGTTTTTGGGGGTCATGCCCCCCCCCCCCCCCCCCCCCCCCCTGTTGGCCTCCCTGGATCCGCCAATGATCTGTTATAAAACTTCTCTAGTGCCATGGGACACAATCAGTACCTGGGCTCTAGCCCTTGAAACCAGGATTAACAACATAAGCACTGCAACAATTGGTACCTTGTGACTAGATTGTCCACTAATGTCCAGGTACACCATATTTTCAAAACTACTTGTTAACAAGTCGATAGCAATGCCCTTGCACGCACCAGGTCAACAAATACTTGTAACCATGTTCCCATACTAAAGCAAGTATTTAGTACATATTTTTCCTCATAGGAATGTGTACATTTTGGTTTGGACTATTGAAATATGCTGGTTTCGACAGTGATCTCATCCAGCTTGTATTAGTCGTGTTTGACTGTATTCATTGTGCATTGGAAATATACAAATGGAATCTTAAAAGGGTTGAGATGAATGAGTGCAGTACCTAAAAAAATGCATCATTGTACTGTTAATATGCCTTTCTACTTCGCGGGCTTCATGGGTGATAAGCTCATGAACGATCAGCTCATATACACACGCACATACACCTTTTGGGCTCTACAGTATGGCTGTGATGTATGAACAGTTATATGTACATACTACATAAACATGTGGGTTTGAAATGGAATATCATTTTGAGTAAAGCAATTACATCATTCTGACCATAGGTATATTATATTAAAAATATCCGTGTCTGACATTTCTAACTGGAGACGCAGAAGTTCAAGTTTATAGTCAAAGGAGTATGGTCAGAAGTTTAATGACCTGTAACTCACAAACCATATGACGCAAAGCAGTTCAATGTGTGTTTTGAAGTTTACTCATGACAATTTTATATTAGCAAATTTAAAGAAACCAGTGAGATTGACCCGGGTAGGTGTTTCAGGTATGTGGAATGGACACAGAATGACCCTGATGGATCACAAGTCACTACAAGTTCATCATAAGCCCATCACAAGCTATTCAAATGAACTGTGACAAAGACATTCCTTTGCTATTATTTATGCTCTGTTAATTGTGACTGGACTTGTGATTTACTGGAAATAGAAATTGTGATGTTCTTGTGATCCATCAAACGTATTTTGATCGCAAGACTACCTCAGAGAGAGTTTTATCAATAGAAATTCATGGGTGGGCAAAATTGGCACTTCCCCACCATGAAATATGTTTCAAGGTTAACACCATTTGTCTGCTATACTTGGCACATCTATACTGCTATCCGCCAAGCAGTACCATAACATCCACACCAGATGGTAAGCAGGTTTGTGGTAAAGAGTTTTTCCAAAGATAACACATGACATACTGTTTCGATAAATAAGGATGTACATGTAGATATGCAAACACAACAAAGCAGAGCTAAAATAATAATGACAAGTTTATTTGAATTGCTTTTGTTAGAACCTGACCACTATTGACAAGTGATGTTGACAAGTGATAGACTTTTATTGCAACTTTGTGCCTTGCAGTATGGTCAATTACCAGGGGGGCAATCTAAACCAGTACGGACGCTTGCAGAATGACGGAGAACTCAAAGTCAAAATGCCTGCAAATACCAAAAAAGGGTAAGCTGACCACAATTTATTTTCACACAGAATTGGTTAGATGACAAAAAGCCAAAGCATGTGGTAGATGAGCCCAAAGTTATGAACAAAAACAAAAGAAACTAAAATTCATTATTTCTTCTGGAAACCTTAACTTTAATCATGTATTTTTTTCATGAATATGTAAGCTCAGCCAATTCTCGGCCTTATATTTAAACAAATCTCCATAGGTGATTTTTTTAAAACCATTGATAGAGTTTTCCTAGATTCCATTACACGATTATCACCCTGATGAACAAAGTTGCATCACACAATTTTCCTTTCTTGATTGACAGTGTCATGACCTCTACCCAGAAGTACTGTTTCCTGTTTGACAAGGTCATCATAGTGTGTAACAAGGGTGGAAAGGTAAAGAAAGCTGCATCCTAAAACCCAAGTTTTCATGTTCACTTCATTAATTCCCTACTTACCTGTTGGACCTTTAATTGCATATTTCCCTAGCTATGTCAATTCTGACATGAAATGCAAAAGAGTTTCTCAAAATGCTGTTAAAGATTCCATTGATACATGTACCAGGGTTGATTGATAAGTTCGTGGCCTTAGGTAGAAGATGAGCTATAGGCCTATGGGTTGGACTGATATTGTGTGCAGTTCAACTTGTTGAATGATTACACAGATAAAAATAATAATAATATCTAATTCTTGTATATCGCCAAATCCGTCAAAATTGACGCTCAAGGCGCTTCACAGAAATAAAAATGAACCAGTTAAAATTTAAGAACAAACTAAAACTTATACAAAGAAAAACCTTTAAAATAACTAGGTGAACAATTGAAATAAGTTGTCTAAAACAGGCAGGTTAAAACGGACAGACACAGTAAAGCAACAGCGAGACGACCACGATAAAGAGACTTAAAAAAGACTTACACAAACAGTGGGAAACACACAAATCAGACAAATAACAGAATAACCATAGACAAGACACACATTCTGGTTGATAAAAGACAGCCAAAACTGTCAAGACAGACAATAAGAATGAGACAAACGGATGGACAGGCTAATGAACAGTCCTACAAACACATTAATGCAATACAGCATGACAGCACAAGGTTAAACATTGACGCTCAAGGCGCTTTACATATACAGATATACCAGTTAAAAATTAAAATACAAGAGGTGTACAAATTAAAATTATCTGAAACGGGCAGATATAAACGGACAGGCACAGAACATCAATCAAGTAAACAGAGAGACGACCATGACAGAGAGAATTAACAGCACGACAGCCATAACGTACATAAAAAAAATCATTACAGAACTACAAATAAACCAGTTACAATTTAAATTGAAGTCTTAAAAACAACTTAAATTATGCAAATACAAGTAGGTGTCTAAAATAGGCAGATATAAATGGACAGACAGAGAACATCAATCAAGCAAACAGCAAGACGACCAGAACAGAGAGACTTAAAGGACCACGACAAAGAGACTTGAAAAAAAAAAAAGACTTACATCTACACAACATAGTGGGAAACATACACTAGACAAACAGATGAACGGACTAACAGTAGACAAGACACACATACTGGTTGATAAAAGACAAACTGTCAAAAACAGACAATTAAGCATGAGACACACGATGGACAGACAGATGAACTAACACACAGCACATACGGCACAGAATGTAAATAGCATGACGGCCACAACAGAGAGACGTAGACAACAGACTAAGAGACACACACAACAGACAGACAAGACAAACGAACGGACTGACAGTCTAAAATCTTTATGCATGTGTAAAATGAACAGACACAACTTATAAATATTGACAGGCACCAACCCGACGCCCCGACCAGTATGTCCCTATCGCCATCAGGAGACGATGATCTCCTGATGACAACCAGAGCGCACCGATTGGAATGCCGAGCCCATACGATAGTCACATGACCTCTCCCAGAACCACCCACCCCCTCCAGAGCATTTTCTCGGTGCTACCAAAAATAGTCGCACTTAAGACACATGCTGGCTATGAATGGGCTACATGAGAAAACAAGTGAGTCTTCAAAAGTTTCTTGAAAGAGTCAATAGATGTGGCCGTGCTGATGTGTGCCGGTAATTGGTTCCAAAGTGAAGCTGCAGAATGTTGAATGGCGCGGGGTCCCCATGAGTGATGAACACGGGGAACAACCAGAGAGATGGTCTGGGAAGATTGAAGATTCCGGGTTGGTTTATACCTTGGTAGAGCTTCGGTGAGATATGCTGGTGCGGATCCACCGAGTATGTGGAACGCAAGTAGGAGAGTCTTGAAAATGATTCGGTTCGCGACAGGTAACCAATGGAGAGACTGCAACACTGGACTGATGTGCTCTGAACGTTTGGTCAAAGTTACTAGTCTAGCCGCAGAATTTTGAAGTCGTTGAAGTCTGTCAAGTTGATACTGGGGCAAGTTATACAAGATCGAGTTGCAGAAATCCAGTCGAGAAGATATGAGTGCATGCACAAGTTGTTCCGTTGCTGTGTGAGTCAAGTATTTGCGGATGAATTCAAGATTTCGTAGATGGAATCTGACCGACTTGGATAAGTTGGATATATGATCATTGAAGGTCATGTGACTATCGAAGATGACCCCAGGTTTTGAGCTGTTGCAGATGTACTGATGCAGCTAGCACCGATGTCTATCGACGAGATATTCAACTTGGCAAGGTTAGTCTTGGTGCCAAACACCATGAAGCATGATTTGGCATCATTCAGCTTGAGGCAGGGGGAGCTCATCCATGTTCTGATGTGATCAATGCAGGCCTCGAGCTTCGTCATAACAACTACAGCACTCGATTGAAGTGGGCTGAATGATGTAAACAGTTGAATGTCGTCTGCGTAGCAGTGGTACTGAATGCCGTATTTCTGGATTATTTTACCAAGCGGACTGGTGTATAAAGAGAAAAGAAGAGGTCCGCTGACTGATCCCTGTGGAACACCGCAGCACAAAGGAACAGATGCAGACTTTATGTTTTTGATGCAAAGTGACTGATGGCGATCAGTGAGATATGACGACAACCATTGCAGAGCAGTGCCCTTGATCCCAAGTGAAGATAGACGGTTGATTGTTGAAGAATATGACCTGACATGTGGGCGAGAAGAGTTTCAACGCTGTGGTTTGAGCGATAGGCTGACTGGTATTTGTCAAGGAGACCATTCATTTTTAAAAATGAAGACAGTCTGGCAAAAACCACACGCTCGTGTAGCTTGGAGAGATACGACAGGTTCGAAACAGGACGTTATGCATGATATCAGGATCCAGATTTGGCTTTTTCAGCAACGGTCGCACTAGTGCTGATTTTAGGGTACCTGGCACGACCCCGGATTTCAGACTCTGGTTGATGATGCAGGTGATTGCTGGAGCAATTGCATCCACACAAGGCTTCAGTAATGATGTGGGGATCGGATCGAGCTCACACGATTTAGTAGGTGTCTTCAAAATGAGCTTCTGAATTTCCTCGAGGGAGGCAGTTCTGAAAGAAGTCAAATATGGCCACCCTTGTGATGGTGATGGTGACGTTTCAGCAATACTTGCAGTAGATGGAGGTAAGCTGGCACGAATGGTCGACACCTTGGAAATGAAAAACTGGCTGAATGTGTCAGCAAGAGATTCTTTACAGTCATGTGATGGCAAGGGGGAGGTTGTTTTTCTGTGGAGCAGTTGATTAACAACCTTGAAGAGTTGTTTCTGGTCACCAGAGCAGTTGCCAACTACACTGGAGTAATACTGGCACTTGGCTTTCCTAATCACTGATATAGTATGATGACGTTGCTTGCAATACAGTTGAGGGTCAATCTCAAGGCGTGAAGATCTCCATCTGCGCTCCAGCTGTCTACGCTTGCGTAAAGCTTCAGACACCTCGTTGTTATACCAGTTCGTGTTTGGACGTACTTTGAAGGTGCGTGTTGTGGCTGGTGCATGCTTGTTCAGGATGCCAAGCAAAGTTTTGTTGTACATTTCAACTCCAGATGCAGGATCCTTAACGGTCTCAGAGCAAACCTCGGTAAACTGACATTCTGTAACGTCACTGGAGAAGGCATTTATGTCAATCGAGCGAAGGTTCCTTGAAACAACAGTTGTGGTAGGGACAGCTGGTTTGTGAAAAGGCACATCAAATAGGAGTGCAAGGTGATCAGAGATTCCTTCAACGACTCGGATGTTTGAGAGATAATAGTCATGATCATCACAGCGTGTTATGAGTAAATCAAGAATGTTGTCACATTGCTGAGTTGCTATATTTATGTGCTGTTGCAGTCCATGTGCAGATAACAGATCTGCAATCTGCGCAGATTTCACCGCTGAAGGGTTGTCCATGTGAATGTTAAAATCACCTGTTATAGTAAGCGACGACTGGTCGAACAGGTAACTGTCGATGAAACAAGCAAACTCATCAAGGAAGGTACTGAATGCCGCAGTGGACCCAGGCGGTCGGTAAATAATCACCAAATGCGTGGAAGTAGCGTTACTCACTAACTCTGCCTGCAGCACTTCAAACGAACTGAACGTCCTCACATTTTTGCGGATTTTAACACTGATGGTGCTCCGGTACAACAAGCCGACACCTCCTCCCCGCTTATTGGCTCGTGGTACGTGATGGAACGAGTACCCATCGGGAGTTAGACCAGCAATAACAGCCGGGTCATTTGGAGTCAGCCAAGTCTCAGAAATCCCGATGACATTCAGATCATTCTCCCGCACAAACTCCACAAACTCATATGTTTTGTTTTCAATGCTGCGAGCATTCAGCATGCAGAACGTTGTCAACTACATTCAATGATGTTGTAGTCTCATATGTACTTGCAGCAGATTGTCGCGAGTGCAGGATACATCACGAAGGCTGTTAAGTCTCAATGGCCGGTTCCCAACCACAACAGGAATGTCATTGTAGCCCAGCATAGGCGACCGCATAGTCAACATGTTTCCAAACGTACCTGCGAGCTGGTTAAAGTCACAACAAAAGCCCTCCAGGTCAGAACAAAAATCACAAAAATCCTGCTAGCCGCCCTCAAATATAGGTTCTACAACCGCGCCTGGTGCATTGTCCTGCTGAAACGGGAATTCTGGGCGGATAAACGATGAGCAGAAGAGATAAAAATGTTCACGGACAATAACAATGAAACCTACGCCAGTAGGCATTACCGGCTGGTACGATAATAACTTCAAACTTCCTGTGTAATCATTCAACTAGTTGAACTGCAATATCACTCAAAACTGTATAGCTCATCTACTTCGACCATAGGCCACAAACTTATCAATCACCCCTCGTATATCACATGATTCATGGCAAGCTCATACATGTACACTGTAACATATGGGACACCTAGTACCAATACAATGTTCACAGTGTAAGAGAATGGCCCCTAAAGACACA